AACTGAGCATGCCAAAGAGCCCAAACCTAGATGTGAACAGCGATTTAATCTCACAATCACGAAGTGCTCAATATTTCAAAAAGATAAGACATCTTTAATTTGATGGCAACTCCTTTCCAGGCTCAATCCTAATGTACTTGCAGTGAACGAAACTTTTTTACTCGTTTGCAAAAAAGTGGGAAAAAGAAACACAAGATAAATATCTATGCATGGCTCTGTTGACAGTCTCACGGTGCAACATCCATCCATAGCTCCCCAAAGGTCAACACCAGTAAAATCGGTCAAAACGCCTGGAACGATCCAATAATCAAACATATTTTGATGGCAAGCGCTCTACCATCTGAGCTATCTCGCCTTAGCAAAGAAACAAAAATGCTAAACTTTTCTCTTCACCATTCTAATACTCATCCTTGGAGATTCTGGCAGCTTTTGTTGCATTTCAAGAGCCTTTTGAGAGATGAGCTTTGGAAATCCCACCATCTCCAGCAAGTTCCTATAGCCAAGAAGCTGCATCTGCAGGCAACCATGAAGAATGTTACTAATGCTTATAATAATAATACATATTATAGTAATAGTAATCACAAGAGGAGGAGGAAGAGGGATAGTGTTTTGCTTTGCAGTGTTATGCAAGAGGAGTAAAGCAATTGGTAAAACCAACACAATATAAATCAACTGGTATGGTCTTCTGTACCAATCAAATTGTCTAAACACTAATATTAATTGGTATTTTGGTTTGCTAGTAAACATATTTAGCTACATATTTGTATAGCTAAAAGTCTTTTAAAATGAGTAACTTGTTTTTCTTACAAAAGTTCAAAATTGGAAACGTCACCTTCACATTCTTTCAAAATTTAAGTGCATTTGCTTTTCTGAACAAACAAATAGAGATATTGGGCATGCTTGATCAATCCAAAGAAACTAATTATTAAAAGCTTACTAGGTGATGGATTTTGTTTCAAGGTGGCCTCTCTCCATTCCTTGTATTCCAAGCATGTTGTCCTGCCTGGATCTTGTACCAAAACCAAACTAATGCCTTTGGAACTTGTAAGTTGTAACAAGCAAATCAATGCCTTCCTACTGACCTCAAGAATGTACAACTTAATGTAGTCCTATACAGATCTGATAATAGAGAGAGCAAAAGGAGTCATTAAAAATATTTTCAAATATTCTGGTACACGAAAGAATAATTTCTTAATGTTTTCGTGGAAATATTTTTATTAAACAGGTATTTTTAAAAAATTAAAATTTAAATAATATTTAGATCTGAGTGGCAATATTTCCTATTTAATAGAGGTTTTACCTTCTGACCTAATTTACAGAATAAATTCACTATATTTAGTATTACTGAATATACATTTATTACTATAAAATCCATTTGAGTGTAACTTTAAAAAATGTCCTTTGTTATTTTATGAGTAATTTATAAGTAAATGTTTATTTATAAATATATATCAAATTCAAATATAATACCAATATCTAGTTCTTTTCCTATGTCATAAACCCGCCCATATTAAGATATTGCAGTGAATCCAAATTTTAAGATTTGGATCCATCCCAAAAGCCATATAATATATAAAATATATATTGTGAGTACTCAGAATAAAGGAAGAAGTATATTAATTAAAATTTAGGCCCCTACTTATATACAAGAATGGATAGATTATATTTAGTCCTAAATGGACAGTCGATATGTTATACTACTATAATTAGTGCATTACCTAGCTAGGGTAATACATATATATACATATATGTATTTACAAACTTTACACCATCCTCCCTTTTGGAAGATGAAAAGGTGATAATAATAAGTCAAGTGGAACATCTGGAGCTTCTGTTGGGCAATTATAAATTACTACAAGAATCTAAAACTCCCACAAAACCACCAATAAAAATTGCTAATAACCATGACTGAAATAAAATCTAAAGCTATGGCATAATCATTAGCCTAGTATAGAACTTTGATGAACCAGTTGCAACTCTTTATGCAACTCCTAAATGCTCAAACCAACCACACAACCATAACTTTGCATTGGAGAGGTTAAACTCACTCCATTCGTCTTTCACATTCTCCTTCTCCCCTCCTCGAAGAAAAAAAAATTTGAAACAGTAGCTCCTTTTGGACTTACTGTGCTCGTCTTCACTCTGCCATCTATGTCCAGCCTCACTCCACTATCGTATCTATTCGGCCTCATTATATTGGGGCTGGATGTTTCGTTCAAACTCGCTATGCTCGTCCTCACTCCACAATCTATATCATTCGCCCTTGCTCCACTATCGTATTCGCTCATCCTCACTCCATCATCGGGGCCGGACTTCCATCCGTCTCCTCTACCCCCTCCTCTAAAGAAAAAAAAGTTTGAAGTGTCAAGGCAAAAAAAAGTTAACGAGAAAAATTGAGGTAAAACAATTTTGGAAGAAGAAAAAGTAGATAGAAAAGCATTGGAAGAGGAATTTGCAACAACTGGCAATGCAAAAATGGAAAATTAAAAGAATATATGCTTAAAGCTTGGTCAATAGGGGATTTCCTTTCGTTAAATATTTCAGCCACAATATAAGCAAAAGATTCACACCACTTAACCTTTTGAACACACAACTTAACACTTGATATGGGAAAATCAATAACAACATTCACATTCTCAAGGGAATATATAATTTCCTCATAAGTAATAGTAAAGCAAAGGCTCTCAGTAGCACTCACAAGTGGGGACATGCATTCAACCCAAAACTCTGGCTAAAGTGACTTAACCCTTGGAACAGGGAAATACTCAATACCAGAACTAATCAAATACTCTACCAATGAAATAAAAGCAAGATTCTCAACTTCATGGATACACTCAATATCCAGATTAATTGTCTTTCCACAAACTTGATCCTCAAACATTCTCCAAGAATTAAACTGCATCATCCATAGCTCACCAATCAATATCACGATCACACTCCACGTCAATAGGAGATTGGTAGAACATTAAGAATAGGATAAACCATATAATCACATCCCACAAAAGCTAGAGACCAACAAACAACACATCAAGGATGGGCACAATACCAATATTATCACACCCCACAACACCAAAAGTTAGATCAAATGAAACAATAGTAATAGCCTTAAGTGACATACTTTTTGATTGATGAGGGCCCAGTGGCGGAGTACATCCTAAGCTGTGACATCGTTGCATTCAACAAGATATGATCTACTCGGCCATCTCCTTTTTTTGATTGTGTTCTTCACTGCGAGAAATGAAGGACTCTCGTCGTCCTTGTATTCCCTGCAGCTTTCTACAATCTTAAAAAGTTTTGTATGATCCATCCATCGTTCCAAATAAAATTGTGGCTACAACGCCAAGGTTGACTATAGTTGACGTAAAGTAAACCATTAATGTTCGTTTATCTCTAACCCTCGCGGTTTAGGTTAACTCGTTATCTTCCCGCCTATTTCCAAACGCGAGGTTCTTCGCGCGCCATGGAGATGAAGGCGCTGGAGCGGCGGCTGGGAATGGCGGCCGATCGCGAAGTGCTGCGCAAGGCGGAGGAGCTGCTGCACCTCTGCCGGATGGAATTTGATGCGGCGGCATTTGGCATTGTGAGTGTGCTTGCTTCTTTCTTTCCGCCTGTGACTTGAGGGTATCCAATGCTCTTGTGTGTTATTCCAGGGCGATGTCTGCCGATCCGTGCTCTGTTTCGAGATCGCGTGCTCGATGTAAGTATCCAGATCTGCATTTCTTTGCGGGTGGAGTTTATTTCTTTCTTTTCTTCTCGGACAGGATGCAAGTTCCATTTGATCGGCAAAAGGGAATCAAGCTGAGTGGCCTTTCTGATAAGGCTTACAATAGATCACTCACCACAGTCCAGAATGCTCTTGGTATCAGGTATTTCTTCAAAGCCAGGAAGAAAAGAGATGGAAAAAAAATGTGGGAATAACATTTTTTTCTTCAGGACAAGCTTGAATGTGCGCGAGCTCGCTGTGCAATTTGGATGCGTGAGACTCATACAAGCTGTCCAGAGAGTCTTGGCAGCGTAAGAGCTTCCTCTTTCCTTTTAGTTTATTTCTTTACGGGCTCTCTCTACGTTTTGCTCCAGATACAAAGAGCGATTTTTGGCCACTTTTCCAGAAGCACGACGTCGAAGCGCTGATTTCGATCGCCCTGTATTCACCAGCGTTGCGTTTTATTTATGCGCGAGAAAGCAAAAGGCAAGCAGTTTCCAATGCTTTTTTTCACGGTTTTACTGTCTTTTTATTGTATGTTTCAACAGCTTAAAGTTGACAAAGCTAAATTGATGGAGGTGTCTAGCACGTCGGACCCTGAGTTTTCCAACGTAAGCTCCAGCGAGCAATTGTATTGCCGATTCTAGATTTTATTTTTCTACAGGTTGCCGCGTCTATGACAGATATCTGCTTCGATTTGGTCGGTGTTGAGAAAGAGAAATCCGAATCAAGAACTAGAGGATGCAAGAGAGGTATGCAAAGAACTCGATATTTTTTCTGCAAGGCCTGATCTCACAGTGCGAGCATTTCTTCTGCAGCTCTGTCGGATGCCACGAATCTCGAGGTCAGTAGGAAGGCGTCGATCTGCTTGTTGCAACTTCCAGGTTCTAAAGACTTTAGTTTGGTTTGCATGCAGGATCCAGGCAGGACAACATGCCTAGAATACGAGGAATGGAAAGAGGCCGTTTTGTCATCCTCGAAACAAAATCCATCACCTGGTAAGCTTTTAGTGATTAGTTTCTTTGGATTGATCAAGCGTGCCCGATTTCTCCGTTCGTTTGTTCAGGGGCTGTCAGAGACCGAAAGCAAACGCGCTTAAACTTCGAAAGAATGTGCTTTCGATATTTTGTAAAAAAGGCAAAAGTAAAGTTACTCATTTTTAAAAATCTTCTAAATAAGCAAATTAAAATACCAAATAATATTAGTATTTATTTGGTACTAAAGATCATACCAATTGATTTATATTGTCTTGGTTTTACCAATTGCTTCTACCCATCTTGAATAACACTGCAAAGCAAAATAATTCACTAGCCTTGTTCCTCCTCTTGTTTGTACTATTACTATATGTATTATTATTATAAGCATTAGTAACATTCTTCATGGTTGCCAGCTTTGCAAGGAGTGCCCTGTAGTACGCATCAAGCAACCCATCCTGTGGATTCCACACGCATCTCTTTTGATTCTCAGGGGTATGCTCCACAAATCCCTCGGCCTTAAACCTGGAGCACTTAATAAGACGTTGCCAAGATGAGATCTCATGACCTTGAGTATTTTCCTCCATAGAATCAATCAAAAAACTCTTGAAATGTGACAAAAGACGCCGGAATCTCCAAAGATGAGTACTAGACTGGTGAAGAGAAAAGCTTTGCATTTTTGTTTCTATTCTAAGGGGATTTAGCTCAGATGGTAGAGCGCTTGCTTAGCATGCGAGAGGCACCGGGATCGATACCCGGCATCTCCAACTATTTTCAATCATTCCAAGCGTTTTGACTGATTTTACTGGTGTTGACTATGGTTGACCACTTGAGGAGCTAGGGATCCACGATGAAGAAGTAAAACCGGATGGTGCTAGTTCCCTCCACTGTTGGGTCACTGGATTGCTGCTCTACCGTCTGTGGCAAACTGGCTTTTATTCCAGTACCCAGATGGGTTAATTCTTTTGCTTTTGCCTCTGACATTATGAAACTACTTTGATATGTTGTGTCTGCAATAGAGGCAACCATAATAAGAGACCTCCACCGGCCGAGAAAAAGAAGACTGGTAGGCAGGAGCGTGAAGACAACAAGGATGCCATCTACATGACAAAGATAATCCAACTTGCATTTTTGCATCTATCAGTCTCATGCTTTCGGTTGGGCACCGTGAGACTATCAAAACAGCAATGGATAGATATTTATCTCGTGTTTCTTTTCTCCAGTTTCCTGTAGGGAAGTAGTTTGTGTACGCTGATGGCTTGTGTCTCCATGATCACATTCAATGAGTTCTAAGTTGAAAAACGAGGAAAAAAAGAGTTTCGTTATTCAAAGTATCCAAAGTGGCGTGTCACTGCAAGTAGGACATTAGGATTGGAAAGATATCCATTTCTCTTTTTGAAATATCATACCTATACTGTGGAGAGCATTTCGTGATTGAGCGATGAAGCTCTATTTCGTTAAAGTGGGAATTGTCATTATCCCACTTGTAAAATAAGGTTTCCAAACCTTTATATAGTATATAAATATAACAAAATTCAACTGCATTGAGGCACATGCCATTTTATTTTAAACAAGGAAATGTCTACTCAATCACTTCTCCTCCTCCTACCACTGCTTCACCTCTCTCTTCTCCTTGTCATCGTCGTCCAATTTCTTTCCATCCTTTTAATATTGGCTCAGTTGCTCCGAGTCTAGGTGGAGCCCAAGTCCCCATTCAATCTTTACTTTCCCTTTATTAATAAAACAACTTCGTAGACTTCCAATAACATGCTGTAACACTTCTAGTATAATGCAAATCCTCTCAAAGAATTGTCTTTTAATATTAATACAATGGCATGGAACCCCATGCCATAATAAGTTACATTTTTAAATAAATACATGCCATCTCAGACTGTTATTTTTTGCCTCCAACGCCTATACAATAATCTTGGAATTTCATCACTCTCCACACTATCAGGATTTAAACCCAATAGTAATGCCATCTCTTCTCTAATACGTCCACGCTCATGTTCAGTGGTCAAGTCTGGAAACCTCGTCTCGCCCTTCATTGTTTGGTAGTAGGGGATCACGTCTGCGATGTCGGGTGTTACTGGACTTCCCAGCATCTTCTGCTTCAGTTTCTCCACCCACTCATCAGATACTAGCCTGTGGTTGTATTTGCTTTGGATGTTGATACGGCTCACGTCGATTGTATATACTTTGTTGGAATAGTAACAAGTACTATTATCTGCAACGATTTTTGCTGCCTCTTCTTGCTCTTTCTGCTCTTTGCGGCTCTTCTTTTTGGTGCGTGTAGTGTTCGAACCCGAGGCAATGGCATCACCGAGTAGCTTCTTTTTTGGAGCAGGAGAATCGGACGTCGGCTTGAGCTTGACCACCCTTTTCTGCTTCGGGGTAGTTTCCAGATCGACCCCCTTTTCCTTCGCTTCGTGAACTAGAGGCACTCTCAATGGCTCAATATTGGAATATAGTTTTTGAACATCGCCGTAGGTGAGGTCCGTGGATTCCATGTGATCTTCATAGACCCGCAGCGTCTTTGAAATTGTGAGCCTCCTGGACAACCTCTCCCTAGCTCCCTCTAGGAATTCCTCATAGCTGCTGCCCCCCTCCGGGAAGCCACTAGGATGTGCAAGGTGGATCTTGAAGGCGGACGTTGTCTCTACCACAAGTGCTAGTCCATATTCTTGCATGGAACTGCATGGAGTGTCTGTCACTTGGATGAGGATCCCCATGCATTCTTTTCTCCCACCATCTGTGTTGTACAGCCTCAGATCCTCGCCTTCCATCCCGAAAGTCCAACCTGAGCTCCTCCCCCTTCTCTGCATCCACATTGACAGTGGCTGGAAGAAGAACGCAATTCCTCGCCTGTTCAGAAATGCACAACAATTAGAGCTGACAGATGAAAAGCTAGCAGCTGGAAATAACGTGAGGCCACACGCCATTCACCACTGCATCAGATGTCTTGATGCTGCATCCTAAGATGGCGTGAGGCTACACGCCATCTGTAACCGGACTGCACTCGAGAGCCCAATCGGTGCATGCCAATGTTGCTACTGAATGGCATGTGGCCTCATGCCATTTTCTACTTGGCCTAAAAGACTTACCATTTGAAGCCGAATGGAGGCGTGACAATCGAGGCCGGACTTGCTGGCGAATGTGCACTGTGTGTGTAGCGGATCGTAGCAGCAAGGCTACTCTGCCACTTACAGTTGGAGAGTGGCGCTGAAATCTCCCGGGACGCCAAGTGGGCTGCATGTGGGTGGCGGAGTGGGCGGCAGAGTTGGCGGCGAAGTTACAAACTGGGTGTGTCTTGAAGTGGATGCCGATGCACACGAGCGCGATGCAAGCGCGAGTGGACGCCGATGCACACGAGAAACCTGTAGAGAAGGTAGATGAGCGCGAATGTGAGCGTGATTGCGAGTGGGAGTGCGATGCGAGCGCGAGTACGAAGCAAAATGCAAAACCTAACCTCACACGCGCGAAATGTCACGACGGTTGGTAATCCCGCAACGTCATCATTCCTCGGACTTGGGCGCCACCATTAATTTCTGGATCGCCGCGCGCATGCATGCACGTGAAATCCAAAAGAAATCCGCAATGTCATCATTCCTCGGACTGCATGCACGCGAAATCCAAAAGAAAGATCATGATTGGGATATCATTTAATACCCTCGCTATATTTATACCATGCATGATTGGATATTCCAAAGCATCTTGTATTTCCAAAAATGCCAAATGTTCAGCTAAATAAAGAATGGTATACAATGTCCTTCTTGATGACCCTGCAAAGAAGCATCTCGATCGGACACCACATGAGACCACACGAGCTTTGCAATGTTTCAGGGGCATTTGCCATAGATCTGACCGTTATTTTGCTCCAAGATTCTACAGTTTGGTGTGCATTGACCTTTCCATCGACACTGCAAAGGGACATCACAATCAGATGCAGGATCACAAGAAACCAACTTCACTAACTCTGGTTTCACCAAGATCTACGTAAGGAGTTATGAAATGAAAGGACCCTCTCTATTGAAATGTGTTTATGGTCCTGACATATCAAAGGATTTTGCATCAAGTTCTGTATTTGCATGTTTATCAAGCTATTGAATTGCTAAACCCTAAACCCTAAACATGTGGCAAATGCTGCGTGAAGACAGATGCCCTTTCTGGGCAAATGCTGTAAGAGGCAGATGCCGAGCAGTTACACGGCGAATAATCTTGGCACAGATCGCTGACATGGCATAGCAAAGTTCGAATCACTGACATGGCACAGCTGGATCGAGGCAAGGACATGATGTGACAAAGTTCAACGTCCGACAGCAAAGTCTAGAAGCTACTTAGTTTGAAATTTGTCAGAGGAATTATAAGATCTGGTTTGTCAGAGGATTTGATGTGACGTTCAAGCGTGTGGGCTCATGCAATTTTGATCCCAAAAAATGCACCAAAAAATGCTCGGCGTCATCTAGCGTTATCTCTTGAATGGCGTGGGGCCGCATGCCATTTTCAAGGGCACATAGGAGTATATTCCTAGAATATTCTGACACGCGCGAGATTGTTTTGAGTTTTCTGGAGATCCAACCGTTAGATCGCAACTAGATTTTACAGAATGGTATACAATGTCCTTCTTGATGACCCTGCAAAGAAGCATCTCGATCGGACACCACATGAGACCACACGAGCCTTACAATGTTTCAGGGGCATTTGCCATAGATCTGACCGTTATTTTGCTCCAAGATTTTACAGTTTGGTGTGCATTGACCTTTCCATCGACACTGCAAAGGGACATCACAATCAGATGCGGGATCACAAGAAACTAACTTCACTAACTCCGGTTTCACCAAGATCTACGTAAGGAGTTATGAAATGAAAGGACCCTTTCTATTGAAATGTGTTTATGGTCCTAGGGGCATTGTGACATATCAAAGGATTTTGCATCAAGTTCTGTATTTGCATGTTTATCAAGCTACTGAATTGCTAAACCCTAAACCCTAAACCCTAAACATGTGGCAAATTCTGCGTGAAGAAAGATGCCCTTTCTGGGCAAATGCTGTAAGATGCAGATGCCGAGCAGATGTATCTCAGGCTAGCGAAGGGGACAAACGAAAGCTAGCTATAAACATGACGGGATGCAAATAGATTACTAGGCTGGTCCTGCGAAAATCAAAAACCATAATTGAAAACATTGAAAATGCAAAAAGAAAGGTTTATAATATTTTTGAATTTTAAGCAACAAAAGGAATGTAAGTAGGGCATGTGTTTGTAAGTTTAAAAATGCCTCAACCACTTAAATTCCCAAGTAAATAAAGCTGTTTCTATTTTTGGTATAGGTAAACTTTATAGCGTGTGGGCTCATGCAATTTTGAACCCAAAAATGCACCAAAAAATGCTCGACTAGCATTATTCTTTGAATGGCGTGTGGCCTTATATTGCCATAAATGGACGTACACACACAGCATAATTATTCCTTTACACGGCGAATAATCTTGGCGCGGATC